AGACTTAAGAGCTTGAATATCTGTTAAAAAATCCTACGCTAACCTCGTTATTTTCCTTTACGGCTTGCGCTCGATGTTGTGGGTACCTGAACAAAAATCACGAAGAATAAACGTTTACCAGCCATTAATTGGTGCTTCTTTTTTTTAGCTTAACCTACTCTTCTCGGAGTAATGTCTTCAGTTAAAAAATGTCTTCTAACGGGAAAGGCCTGTCTACCTTAAATATGCTGAGCTAAATTATTCTTGAATATGATTGCCTGTAAATGACGTGCAGCTGGCACATAACTGTTGGTGCTACCATACAGCACTGTCCTAGATGTAAAGAATATACAGCAAAGTGCATGTGAAGAGGGACACAACGCTGACAGAAGCAAATGAGCCAGCATTACACAAATCTCCTTCACAGCAATGAAATTCGCAGGTGCCATCAGACCCACAGGCCTGGCCGTACAGATCTTTTTCCTTTTTACAGGACGTTTCAGTTTGGCATCCCTTTCGATACACCATGACTTTCTTTCCTTGCATGATCAATTCAGTAGTAAACTTGCCGCACTTTGTTTGTCCTTCTGCGCAGCGTCCAGACGTAGTTTTTTGCACGCAGTCGTCCATTGATTTTGCGCTTTCACACATATAGCACTTCAAGTTGTCACCTGAGAGTTATTATAAATGAAATATATAAAAATTTTTGACTCTGAAGATGTTATACCGCACAGTTTGTAGAAAAGTTAATCTGTGTCAACAACAGTCCTATTTAGGACCACACTCACACGCACGATCATATCCCACCCACTTATAAATATATAATCAGCTGTCAACAAAGTACAAGATATTGTGGAGTTTTATTGTTTAATTTCCGAAAAAAGTGAAGCCTCCAGAGACTGCCGTCCTCAAAGAGACGCAAAACGAGGCTCCCTTGTGTCTGTAAGACACCATGACACTCTTATAGATTTTTAAATTTGCTGTGATGGTCACCTGATACAACATCAGCAAGCAACTAAGTTAGTGAATGAAAGTAAAGAGCTTGTTGGACGGGGCTGGATGAGGTTGTTAAAACTTTGGAGCCCATTCAAACGGATTCAAAAGACCCTTAAGGTACCACAATGTTGCTTTTTCTCCAGGTTGCCGTTCTCGTGCCATATGACTTATGAACATGTTAAGGGCCAATTTAAAACGGACTAGGCTCTTTGCAGCTTGTCATTCACGAAGTACAAAACCGCCGTGCTGGAGAGCAAGGGACGCACTGGGACAAGACAAACAAAAGGCATACATAATTTTAGATGGTAATTTCTTTTGTTTGTCTTGTCCCAGTGCGACTTTTGTTCTCCAGGATGGCGTTTTCTACCGCGTGAATGGCTAGCTGTAAAGGGCCTCTTGTACCCTACTATCCGCCGGTCATCCTGAAGATGATCTTAAGTAGGATTAACAACAATGAAATTCAGTTTGGATATTAAATCTAAGAGAAGCACCATACTTTTTGCTAGAGGTCTATTGCAAGACGTTGTGTTGCAGCATTCGTACGTACACGTTGCCCTGGCGTTGTCTTCCCCGACCGCTGTACAAGATGCCTCAGCCGCCCTGCAGTCGAGAGAAGATGCGCACCCGTATATACCAGATTCTTTGCCGTCTTTGCTCATCATCTTTTTCAGGCATCTGTCCTGGCCGGTTTCACAAGTAACGTTTTTAGCGCTCATGCTGTTACATTCCTGAATGCTACCACTGCACTGGAAACATTTAAAGGTAACACCTGTAGGAAAATGTTCCATGTTGGTTAGCCGGTACTAATCAATGTAAGTTTTCTGTTATATCCCGCGAAAACTAGAGGCCCGAAATTCTAGCCCTGTTCTGTTCCGAAATAAATGCTTGATACTTTTTATGGCAATATATATGGCCGGATTTTTGATAATGTTATCGCCAAATGGGCCTTAAGCGTCCAACAGTTTTTTTAGGTAAACCTATTTCCAAAGTAGCTATTATAGTAGCTTTTATTAGTTTATTTTAATCACCTTTGAGGTGACCGGTTATGTCGGCTGATTCTTTGATACCAGACAAAAACGTCTCCAAACCGCTGGTGTGTTTCAATTCAAGCATGTCACCATAAGGTACTGTGGCCAGCTTTTCCCTTTCGATTTTAATTGCGTTATTAGTCAGTAAATTTCATGGGAGAGGGAACTAATTTCTGCACCAATATATATTGTCTCTTAACCTTTTTCCAAGGAGAGAAAAACCTTTTGGCTAAAGATATTGTTGATAATGTATATTGCTGTACTCTGCGAACAAAAGCCCTATCTCTGAGTTTCTGAGAAACCGATGTAAAAGGCTCCTGGTTTTATTAATCTCTGACAACAGTTGTTAAAGGCATTTAGGTAGGCGGTAAAACTACAAAGGGTAATGAGCTGTAGGCCCGGTTCAGACGTCGAACTTTTCTTTTGCCGAACCTAATACAATGAATTAAGTACATGAAAAGTTCGGCGTCTGAATCAGCCTTGGTGTATTTTGTCTTATATTCCGCGGTTTGAGAACTAAATCGTGCGTGAAGTTACAATGGTGAAGGAAAAGTGATATAGCCATGCAGACGATGAACACTGAGTTAGAATAACGTTCATTGCCTGATGAATTCTTGTACAAAATAACATGGTCTCTCGAGGCTTGAATAAAGTCCCGTCCGGTCGTCCGGGACAAGTCACTTTTAAACCTCACTTGTCCGATGGGCAAGGGGCCAAGTATGTCATCCTCTAACTAAATCATTAGCTAAAACAAGCAAGAAGTGGTCCCGGGCAAGTCAAAATGTGAAAGTTGTTTGTCCAAACGACAAGCTGGAATTTTACCCGTTTTCGAGCCTGGTCTCTGCTTTGTATAAAGAGACCGTTAACCGGCAAATGGGGTTAACCGACTAGCGACAAAGGGCGAAAAATATTACTCACTACCGACAAAACGAGTAAAAAATTACCGACTACCGACAGGAAAAATATTAACCGACTACCGACATGGGCTGACATTATCAATATTTGTTTCAGAAAAAAGAGCATTTTGCACTTTTTTCCAGCCGTTAGGAAGTAACTTCTTTAAATTTATGACTCATCAGATGGTCTAACAGAAAGAACTTCCTCTTTTGTTGATACGGATACATTACTACAACCCATATCATAATCACAGAAGCCACAGTCCTTAAAGATGCTACCGACTTTATATATTTTATTGAAAAGACAAAGGTGAAAAAACTGAACATTTCTTGTTTCGGTCCGAGAAATGCTTAGATTAATCCTGAAAGAAAATTCTTTCCAATTAAAGGAAAGCACTGTCAGTAAGAAACCACAGTACCGCGATAAGCACATACAGCAGTTTCCTTTTCAACATTTTCATGGCCGCATATATTGAAACACAAAGTTTAAGCAAAATCGTTTTTAAACCAACTGTTTGAAAATGCTACATAGATGATATTTTTTCCCTATGGGATATAAGTAAACCAGACATGGTAGATTTCTTCAAATTCACGGAACAAGTAAACTTACTTCTCCTTACTGCTCTACTGGTTATGAAATTTACGCCCGAAATATCTGACACTGAGACAATCTTTTTAGACCCCGTTGTAAACCAAGGCACAACATTCAACGAAAAATGAGAAAAAGCATTCATTGACGTAAAGAAGAATTTAAACGGAAACCTTCCAGTATATACATTTTCACCTCTTACCACCCACCCTGCCCACCGAATGTTAAAATGGATTTGACCAACAAGAAGCCTTGAGTATCCTACGAACAAACTCCTTTGAGGAAGTATTTCAGATTTCAAAAAGCGGTTGATGGACAGAAGCTGGCCACACAATTTTGAAATAAAAATTGCCATTAGAAGTAAAACTCACAGGAGAAAAGCAGCGCCCCTGAAACAAAACAACAAGGAAGAAAAAGAAATATTGCCTTTCGTGACACAATACAAGCCCTTAGTGTCTATTATAAAAGAAACTTTAATGTAAAAGTGTAATCACATACAAAACCAACTACCTTGCCAACTTAACCCTCAGACGTAAGCGCAAAATCAAATCCCCCACCATGGTACAAGAGGATGGTAGATGGAACCCCTCCCCAGAGTTTTTGATATGTTGCAGTATTTCGAAGCGATTTTGCCTTCACTGAAAAGCCTTTGATCTTCTTAACAAGATGAGGTATATTTTATGAATGGTGGCACTGCTGGAGGCCTGTTACGTCACCAACAATGGTCGCCATCTTTGCCGCCATCTTGGATATTACAAAGAGTTCGAAATCAGGTTAAAACAAAGAGAAATGGTAATTGCTTGACATGAATAATAACACATAAATAAGCACTTTGCATGATTTTAGCTACAAGATTTTTCTTTCATTGTTGAAAACAGTTGAAAAAAACATATATTTTCACTCAAAATGGCTTGACAACCTGCTACTTATTACGTCATACCTCGTAACCATAGAAACTGATCATCACTGAACTTGTCTCAAAATGCGTGCGAAGGATAAACGAACATCTACTGAAAACGTCAGGTGCTGATGTTTTATCCTCTTGGAAAAATCCCAGAAAACCTAAACGGGGGTGGCATCCAACCCCCCCCCCCCCTTGTATGTCCGAGGGTTAAAGTGTTATTTCGTTGAGGAAGGAAAATTATGGCAAAGGATAGATGTGCAGCCCGTCACCCCTTGCAGTTTTTCACTAAGCTGATAATTTAAGTATCCAAAAGGCTGGAGTCAATTAATTAATTAATTACTTTTTACTGTGCCTTGTAATCGACAGAGAAACCAAGTTCGCATTTACAGTAAAAGGTTTGGTGATCTTATCAGTACGCATGATATTCATTTGGCAAACAATGGTGAAATAAACGACCACAGGAGCCGATCGGCTCCTGACGATCATGTTGCATAAACAAACAAGAGTTAATGAAGTTTAAGTGCAATCAAATGATGCATTCTTACAAGTTTTACTCTTTCCCTAGGGATCAAAGTCTTGAAACTTGGTGAAATACATAAAAAATATTAATAATTAACAAGCGTTTTTACTTATTAACTGAGATTTTCGGACAACCGACAAAAATCAAGAAGTTTAACCGACTTCCGACAAAGTAACTGAATTTTAACCGACAAATGGACCCCCCATTCAGACCCTCTTCTAGTGCATTTAAAAAAACATTTCAATATGTTCAGCAAGAGCTGTCAAATCACGGTTGTTTCTAAGCACGAAAAGAAAACTATAGCACTGGAAAAAAAAAACTTGCAAAAGTTTATGTAATACTTTATGAAAAAATGACGATATTCATAACTTGGAAACTCTAATTTAGCATAGTTGTCGGCGAGAAAACGAAATTTTGACTTGACGCTTTGCTTTGAATAACGACTTACCACCTGTTGTTCATTCGTAAGTGTTGCTACGGACATTTGTTCATTTCTTTTCCGCTAGCATCAGTGGAAAGACCAAAAACTAGACTGATTCTCAAAGCCTATGAATGAAAACTGCATAGAAACTTACCGAGTCAAAAAGAACTCTGTCATTAAATTAAGTTTTTTTTAGTCTCTTAGGCAAGTTGTTTTTATGAGCACGTTTTGTTACTGACGCGTTTAAAAAAGACTACATCGCTGATATTAAAAGTCTATCCCTTGTCTACTTGACACAGACTTACCCTTTTCTGCGCAGACAAACAAGGCCGTGATTAGGATAATAATTTGCTCCATCGCCATCTTGGATCATATACTCGATTAAAGTCCGATAGAAGTTTTGGCGGACAGATTTCTTCTTAAAAGGGGTCTAGGCTTGCATACTCAAGCGTTTTTCATGAAAGGTTATCTCTCGCTTACGGTAATGACCTACGACGACAAGTGAATTCACTAAACAGCATGATTATTCAGATTTCGGTTTCGAAAGCTTAAGGCCTTTTATTTGTTCTTGCTCATGGCCGTGATCGTAAATTACTTTCAACCACGTTATGTCATACAGCACGTTCACGTACACAACAGGTGTTGTTATGTCTACAGAAAATGGAAACCTGTAATTACAGTCGCGACTTCTTACTGGCTCTTCAAAGTTGTTATGTCCTTCCAACTATTGACAAACCAACACGTGTTCACAAAAATTCTGCAAGCTTAATCGATAACATTTTTGTGAACAATTCTGAGCAGGTGCTAATCAGCGGTAATCTCATTACTGATGTCAGCGATCATTTTTCGCAGTTTTGTATTTTGACTTCTCAAACTCATTAATAATTCATAAAGAAAATTCAAAGGAAATTAATGTTTAATGAGTGTTTGGATATCGGATGAAAAACTGCTCATTTTTGCATCCTTAATTTCTCCTTCAAAAATGATTTTGTTTGAGAAGAAATATCAAACATTCGACACAGTGTTTCATCGCCAGATGAAACACCTCGAAGTTCGTCAAAAATACTCCGCTACGCGTCGTATTTTCAACTCTCTTCTCGGTGTTTCATCTGGTGATGAAACACTGCGTCTCATGTTTGATATATTACATCAACAAGAGATAAAATTAAACGGAAGCAAATTAAAAAACGCGATCTTTCGCATTTCAATCCCGATAGTCTTAACAGCGACCTTGCTACGATCGACTGGAGTTGCATCATTAAAACGCACGCAAATAATGTAGACGAGCTATTTTCAACTTTCTATAGAAATTTTAATAAAATTATTAATAAACATGCACCGATTAAAACCCTTTCTCGACGTAGGATTAAACAGTTTTCTAAGCCTTGGATTACAAAAGGTATAAGAACGTCAATCAACGAAAAAAACAGACTGTACCAAATTGGCAATCAGGAAAAGTATAAATATTATCGAAATAAAATTTGCATTCTTATACGTTTGAGTAACACTATTACTGCGCCTTTTGTAATAACAATTTAAGTAATATGAAAAAAACATGGCAAGGCATAAATGAATTATTAAATCGCTGCAAAAGAAAGTGTAAATCTGTTAGTAAATTAAAAGACCCAGATAACAACAATAACCTTATTCCTCGCGTGTACCTAATATCTTCAATAAACATTTTTCAAATGTTGGCAACATCTTAGCAAGCAAACTACCACCTGCAGAGCGTCCCTTCATAGACTACCTAAGAAACTCTAGTTCGCCAGAACTTTCGTTTTTCTTCAGACCTGTAACTCCATCCGAAATTCAATTTCAAATTTTATCTATACCAAACAGCAAATCGCATGGCTTATACTCCTGTCCTACTCAACTTCTTAAATACTCAAGCGAAGTCATATCTCCAGTTCTTTCAGATATTCTCAATACATCTGTCTCTCTTGGGGCTTACCCCCCAAAACTTAAAATATCGAAAATTATACCTATCTTCAAAGCTGACGACGAGACCGACACTTCTAATTATAGGCCAATTTCATTATTATCAAATTTCAATAGAATCTTCGAAAAAATTATGTACGACAGAATGAGAGACTTTATTGAAAAGCACATCCTATTATATTCGTCTCAATATGGTTTTCGTCAAGCTTACTCAACCCAACATGCTATTCTTGATATGGTAGAAACTATACAAACCAATATGGACAAAAAACTCTTTTCATGTGGTGTTTTTATTGACTTAAAAAAAGCCTTTGACACTGTGAATCATAGTATTTTACTTGATAAACTAAATTATTATGGCTTCCGTGGAATTCTCAATCAATGGTTTTCCTTCTTATTTATCAAATCGCACACAAAGTACTGAAATCTCATATATCTAGTAAACTAAATATCAATTGCGGGATACCCCAAGGTTCTGTCCTAGGTCCACTTCTCTTCTTGCTTTATATTAATGACATCCAATATTGTTCGAGCAAACTCCAATTTTTCCTTTTTGCTGATGACACTAATGCTCTTTATGCTCATAAAGATTTAAAGACACTGGAACTAACAGTAAATGCAGAATTACACAACTTGTATAACTGGCTGACTTCAAACAAACCTTCCCTGAATATGAAAAAGTCAAAGTATGTCATTTTTCGTCCATACCCAAAAAACTCAACCATGATCCCCAGGTTAATATTTTTGACAATGAAAGCAATAAAGATGTTACCCTTGAACGCAAAAACGTTATTAATTATCTTGGACTGTTAATCGATGAAAATCTATCTTTGATGACCCATATTCACTCTGTTGCAAATAAAATAAGTAAAACCAATTGGGATAATTGCGAGATTAAGACATATTGTTCCCACTTGCACCCTCTTAAATATTTATCAGTCACTAATTACACCTTATCTAACTTACGGTCTTATCTCTTGGGGCAACGCGTGCAAAACTTTCCTTGACCAAATTCTTGTCCTTCAAAAACGCGCACTGCGTTTAATATATTTTGCTGAAGCAAACGACTACGCAATACCTTTTTTTGTCAATGTAAAAATTCTACCTTTACAGTCTCAATATTATGAATCCGTTTGTAGTCTTATGTATGATGTAAATAAAAACACTGCTCCGGATAATATTTCGAAACTCTTCTCTCGAATTTCTAGTGCTCATACTTACAACACACGTACCTCAACCTCTGAACATTTTTATACTAAAGAATCTCGACTCAATGTCAAACGAAATGCTTTTTCGCGTGTTGGGGTGAAAATTTGGAATGGGATACCTCAAATTCTTAAAGAAAGACCGAAGAAAGCTTTTAAAAGATCACTAAAAGAAATGCTACTCGATATCCTTGAAACTGAAGACTCCTATATTGATGTGGATACGATCATTGTGAAAATGAAAAAGTAATTCTCTTGTCCTTTATTTTCATTTTATTTTATTTTTAAAATTCCACTTTAATATTGTCCTTGCATTTAAGTAGAATAGTATCTATTTAATGTAAAATGTATATACTCATATAACGCCTAATTTCTTTGTATTTATCTAGTTTGTAGTAAATTATGTAGCCTGGCCTGCTTCGAATAGCCTTGCTAACTGCAGGCCAGTCCCAATGTATCTTTTGCTATATTTCCAAATTTAAATAAAGTTGAAGTTGAAAGTTGAAGTTGAATGATACGCGATAGAACACTGTTCTTTTGCACATAACACGCAACATTTGCTAAAACCGATATGAAACTCAAAAACGTTTTTTGGAACTTTAGAACACTGCGTAACGGCGCGAACGCGAATGCTTGTTATAACGAGACAATATCTTTCCAGTCATAACTTAACTATACATCTCGCAGCCTTTTTTCTGGAGAAACACTCAAAGGAAACACTTCCCAACTGTAAAAGGAATGATCAGAAGCCTACCACTCTTGTTGATCAAATAAGCAATCGAACGTGGCTGGATGTTGCCGGATGTTTACTAGATTCATGAATCAATGCATGGCTCTGTACCATGATTAGACATGTTTGGAAAACATCATTATCTTATTAGTTTTCAATAAAACTTGACTCCAGCTGGGGGACATTAAAAATCTCTAATAAGTCTGTCTTTCTTCTCTAGATGACCATCCTGGTGAGACAAAATGGAGGCCATTTTCTGGAACAGCAAAGATGAACAGTATCACCTACTAACTATGCCAGACAAGAAAAGAAGTAGCCTCAGGCTATAATTCAAGCCACAGGGCTGACAAACCCATTTCTTAGTCTTTTGCAGGGTGTTTTAAGAATTATGCCACAGTTATTGTGTAATCAACGGCTGACACTTGAAGTGGAGTGAATAGACCTAGCCAACCTAGCAAAGTGGATAAAGCGATGGAAGATATGTATCTTATTGGATGGTTTGGTCATAGTTAATTGAGTGAAATGGTTATGAAACCCGTCAGACTCCTTTGTTATATGTTTTTGTGGATCTGAAAGTGCACAACGTTCAAAAGAATTCCTATCATTTTGATTGTATTGACCAATAAAAACGTTGCATTAATTTATTCCGTAACAATTTGCCAACAGAAAACAAAGGATTGTGCACTTTCAGGGTGCTTCCAACATAAACTGCAGCACTGTTGTTTTTATCATTGTTTGCCGCTTTTCATAACCAGTCTCCTCTAATAACTATGCGATTGGAAACACGGATTCTCCCACAAATTCAAGGAGTTTCAAAGAGTTTCTCGTAGACAAAGGACTTGAAACCTCATCCTCGCCGGGTTACACTAACAAAAAGAGAACGTCTAAAGTCTAACATGTCGAGTCTCCTCACATTTTAAAAGAACGAGAGGTGAAGACTCTTCAGTTCCTAGGCGGGGATTATATTAAATCAGGGACGTTTTTTTTTTCTTTAACGGATTTTCGCCATCACCATCTCTCTGACATAACTTCAGGTCTGTTTTCATCTTACGTTTTTGTCTTGAGCGTATAAAGTTTGTATGTCCTATCTTTTTTTCAATAAATGTCGACATTTCATTGTCGAGTGTTCAGGCGACTTTAGTGTAGAAACTTGGTTTATTTAAGCTTACAATTTGGTTCCGAGTCAAAAAAAACTCTGTCATTAAACTAGTTTTTTTTAGTCACTTAGGCAAGTTGTTTTTATGGGCACGTTTTGTTACTGACGCGTTTACAAAAGACTACGTTGCCGATATCAAAAGTCTATTCATTGTTTACTTGATACAGACTTACCCTTTTCGGCGCAGAAAAGCAAAGCAGTGATTAGGAGAATAATTTGCTTCATCGCCATTTTGGATCATATACTCGATTAAAGTCCGGCAGAGATTTTAGCGAACAAATGTCTTCTTAAAAGGGGTCTAGGCTAGCATACGCAAGCGTTTTTTATGAAAGGT